TATTTTATTACGTTTCGCATCTCAGAAGTCTGAGTTTTTTCAACCACTCCCCCACATTCAATTTGAACATGTGCCCTTTTAATTGTTCCCTTTCACTTCACATTTTTACTTACTCTTTCCTAATCTACGGTTTCTATACTCCTGTCTTTCAGTTTTAACATGAATATAATAAGATCCTATGGAAACTAGATGCTATAGGAGGGCAGGCATAAATATATGGGAATTTCTGACTCACTCTTCAACTTATCAAGTTTCCCTTCCTAAAAAAGATAAGTGAAACATTTTCATAATAATTTTTGACCTCTGCATACCCTTCTCAGTTCAAGAGTTCAGTTCTGTTCACTGAATGATAAATGCCAAACTTCAGATCTCAATCAAGAGAATCTAGGCCCTGGAGCTATTGGCATTTGAATGCAAGAAGTCGACATGTTACAAAGGCAAAAGAGAAAAAATGGCATGTGGCTGGAGTCACAAGAGCAAAATAAATATGTTACAGTTTGCTTAAGAGACTGTTTTGGTGTAGTAAAGAAAGCCAGCTACTGGATTCTGATAGGTAACAGTGTACATGTGATTGAAGATTCTGGTTTCTGTCATCCAAGACAGCTTTATATGAAATGAAGGCATTTCTATCCACTGCTGGAGCAATTCACTGAAAATATGTTCACTGGAAATGTTTTCCTCATTCAATGAAGGGAAAAAAGTTTCCAATCTATTAACTTTTCCTCCTGGCAAATATCTATTGATTGCATACTCAGGATTTAATCTATTAAAAACTCCAGTCTAACAGTGATAGCATAGGATAATTGTTCATTTGAATTAAGCTAGGGAGGAAACCATGTTATCCTTTATGTCTTGTATAGCATGGGCCATTGTAGCAAGAGAACCACTCTAAACAAGTTTACATATGTCACCTACATGAGATATATATGACCTGCAAATATTACTAGCTAAATTTTAGTAAAATATTAGCTAAAATATAACTAACTAAATTTACTAAGTGCTATGTTTTTGGTTCCATTGGTTTACAGAGGTTAGATGGTTATTATGCATCTAACACTAAGTCCTAAGGCTATTGACTCTTATAGGACCATATATGATGCATAATCTTCCAGGACAAACAAGTATATGTGTTCACTAAAGCTCAGGGTTCTTAATAAAATCTCACCATGATCCTGATGCCTCACACATATCAAGCAGCCATGGTTGTCTGGGAGACCAACAGAAATTTGAGAATACAGATATTTTATAGCATTTAAAAGTATATTTCCCAACTCTGTAGATACTAAAATCACTAGAGTGAAACAAACATTTTTGCTCTAAAAGTAAAAGCCCATCAGCTACAGGGTGACATGCTATTATATCAGGAGTGCCTAGAGCTGCTAATATACAGCAAAAGGGATGTGTCAGCACAACTCTAGCAACTAGCCAAATCGATCAGTTAAACAGTGCAATCCTATACATATATGTTTATAAATAAGAGCCACTGAATTAAATGGAGCCTATTCCCAGGTATCAGACTGCAACCTCAGTGTCAGTACATAGAATATTCTTCTGTCCAGCAAAGAAAGGTTTCAACAGAGACCAGTGTTTACTTCAGATGAACTACCAGATCTCTGAGGATGAGCTGTATGCTCTATGTAGGGGTGTGCAGAAAGTGGTTTTCTATGTGTGTTGGTTTTCAACTCCAAGCATTCCTGATCATTGGCAGTGCTGGCAGGAGCATGTGAGACTTGATGCCCCGGGCACCTGGAGATCTAACTTCTGCTCATTGTTGCTTTACAGGACTTTATCTGCACTACAGAACTCAATATCCAAATTTCTGCATATGCCATGTGGTCAATGTTTTACAAGTTTTGGAACAGTTTACCATCCATTAATTATTTTTGCTTGCCACCAACCTCTCCCCCTCCCTAGAGAAGGTAACTGGTATGTCTATGCACATTCAGCTTTGAAGAAAAAAACAGCAGCACAACTCACTTTTCCTTCTCCAACTGCTTCTGCCTTCTTGAGCCCAGCACCAAATGACAAACTGGTCAAATATATGGCGGTTATGACAATCAGCAACTATTCATCATGTCTACAGGGAATCTCCAGTGACAGAGTCACAAAATTTTCTTGTGAACAAATTTTGGTCTGTACTATATGTTCTGGAGATGGTTTATATATCAACAGTCTCAAAGTTTACATTTAGAAGAGACTACAGCAAGTAAAAGTCTTCATATGTAGGTATACTGATATGTCTCATTCCCAAGAGTATACCTGACCCACTTTTCACTTTCATCTTGGGTTACAGAAATCCTTAAGATAGAAGCCTATGTTTTTAATCAGCCCCTAGAATATGTGTCTGTATATCTGTCTTCCCATGATGCCTGTGCATACATAGATACCTACTTTAAATTATGCAGCAGTAAGGTATATCCTAGGAGGAGCTATTCAGCAAAGAGCACTAGCACAAAATTAATTCCTTCCTTTCCTAAAATTAGATGGGTATTTTAAAAATTTAACATAGTAAAGTATTATTTTAATAAATGTAATATGATGTGATCTACACAACTGATTAGGTGCTAGACTAGAAATTTCCATGTGAAGATTCACATTCTCCATAATACCGTTAATTCAAGAAAAGTGTGTATGAACATAAAAAGCTGGGGTTTTTGAGTTTGTTATAAGAAACAAGTGGGATAAAAATCTAATAAATAAATACAATTAAGTTATTGAAATTGTTTAAGTTGCTCAGTGAGGGGAGTCCAATCTTAGTAAAAGACCAGATATACAGATATAGCTATAGCTAGTTAAAACAACTAATAGGATTCATTTCTTATGAGCACAAGGAGCACTGAAGGAAAATTCAACACAGACTTTTCCTCCCCCTTTTAATGTTTGGGTTTTTTTTTTTTTTTTTTTGCGGAGGAGGGGGGGAAGGAACTTTCTTCTAGTGTATTTGATCCTATCATAATGCAAACATCAAAAATAGATTACGCCTCAGAGGGTTTTAAGTTTCCCCAAGAACAAATTTGGTACATTCGGCTTTAGAAATTTAAACCAATCCCAAATTTAATGTCACCTTTTTTATGGGATATTAAAAGTTTATTAAAAAAATACTTTTCTGAACCAACTTCAAATCCTATCCTTGGTCACAGATGAGGACGAAAAACAGAACTCTGGCAAGCCATGATCTGTTCTATTGTTGGAAATATTGTTATATTAGTTCTGCCTTGAAACTGTGTTTACAAGACTACAGTGATATCCTGCTCCCACATTACTCATAATCACCATCCTGATTAGCTTAACCCTCTAAAGCCAGAAGGGTTATTGTAGACTGTAGCCCCTGTTTGAAGTATTTGGAAAAAAATGAAACAAAAGCGAACCACTTCATACTCCAGATGTTCCTAAGCAATTATGGGGAACAGCTGTCATTTTGAATATATTTCCGAATAACCTTTCCAATTTCTTTATGAAGTCTAAATTACTAAGCTGTTAACAGTCACATTTATCCCTATTAAAATGAACACGAAAATGAAATTTATCAAATGAGTCTAAGGTAACTATATTCTAATACATCCCCAACAACTTCTTGAAACAGGGCAGGGAGCATAACTTTACATTTTGTTGGTATTATCAGTTCCATGGGGGTTGGGGTGAGAATGCAGTGAGGGTCCATTTCAAGAACACAGGAAAAGGCTTTTGTTTTTGTTTTCATTTCTGTAAAATAAAATCTTCATATTTGCATGTGTGCATACAAAGAACTGTCAGGTGCTGTCTGATCGCACACAAAAGTTTTATCCTTATGGGAGTAACTTTTGCTCAGAACTGACTTCATTTTGACAAGGACCTAATACTTTTATATTGCAAAACGGCAGCATTGATTTCCTATTTATAATGCTCTTCTGGAGAGAAAATCCCTATTAGGCAATTGAATACGTTGAACCTGTTCCATTATTTACCAAGACATCAGTATTTCAGCCGGTCATTTTTTATTTTGGTTTTGCTTTCTCTTCTGGGGCTTACTATTTTAAGGCCCAGTGTTTTTGTTCCAAATTTAATTTTTTGGAATGAGATATGAAAAAAAATCTATGTTTGGCTCTTAAACTGGAGTTGCATCGTTGTTCCCAGCTAGGAAAAACAACCCACTGGACCCCAACAGTGGAGTGCTAGTTTCAAAACAAATGGTAGATGAAGGTTAAGGCAGAATATTTAACTGCTTTTTTTATGTCCATGCCTGATCATTAGTTTTGTGCAGTATTTGGGAAACATCCTTTGTTCAACTAAAAGATTACTTTCCCTAATTTTCTTGAAGTGTGTGAAAATTTCCTGCTAGGCAATCAACATTCAAATGATTTTTATAGTCACTTAAGTCACATTATACAGCCACAAAATTAACATTCATCATGGTTCTAGTTTGCATAAAGCTGGGCTGGACAATATTTTGAACATCAGCTGTGCATGTGGTGCTGGCTTGGGGGCTGAAGCTTGTGTGTACACACACACCAGCCTGTTTCAGTACTCAGTGATCCCAACTAAAGCCTCCTTCATCACTCTAGCAGTTCCAAAATGCTTGGCTGCAAGGACAGTCAAGTTGCTGACCCTTTGTATAAATCACCTTCCCCAACCTTGGGAGTTGCAGTCCAAATGCCCCTGAAGGCCACCAGGTTGGGGAAGGCTGGTACAAATAATATCTTCCAGACACAAAACCATGAAGTTGTTTTTAAAACCTTGCTTGCTAACTATTCTCCATTCCAGGTTTTGAGCAAAATATGTTATACATTTATCCAGCCATAGACATTATACGTATGCTAGGGAAAGTCAAAGGAAGCCACACTATGGAACTTGAAAGAACTGAATGGAGCTTTCATAAGCAAGACATTTTGGAGGGCTTTCTTTCTTAGGGCTGCTGTAAGATGGAAACAACTTGAGGACACATAACAATGCATTTTATCAATTAGATACATCTAAGCACATATAATCATGACCTTTAGTACAAACCTTTAGTACAAACTCACCTTGCAGAGGGAAGTCCCCTTTTGTTAAGGTCTATTCTTACTTTCTCTCCTACATGTCTATAAATTTCCACAATTGCCAATATTGCAGCATCTCTCACCTGTCAGCATACAATGCAACCATTAAAACTTGTAAAGAACATTTAACAACAAATGTGGTATACATTGCACTTAATCTGCCACCTATTTGCACATGCATTCCACTTGCCCACTGTTCAACAATTGTAAATATAAGGAAGAAAATGAGTTGAAACAAGTTTGGGTATATAAAGGAGTCAACTACATCATTGTTAGATCTTTTGCAACATCATAAAATAAGACATCTGATTAAAAGAGAAAGATTTTTTTGCAAGTTTTAGAAATCTCAAATCCCATTCAGACAGCTGACATCTTTTACTATACAAGTCATTACTGATCCATAATCATAAACTGCTTCCTTCCTGAATGAACAGCTATTCAGCAGGAAGAAAGAACATCAGCAGTGGGCACAGGGAAGTAACAAGCCAGAGTGGTATAGTAGTTAAGAGTGCTGGACTGGTACTCATGAGGCCCAGTCAGCCATATAGTTCACCAGGTGACTTTGGACCAGCCTAACATACCTCAGAGGGTCTTTGTTGTAAGGGTAAAATGAAGAGGAAAAGAACCTTGTAAGCCACTTTGGGTTCCTTGAAAGAGAAAGTAAAGTAGGCTACACATTCAATAATTTGCATAGGGACTGCTGGACTACCTCTATTAGGCTTGACTGAAAATATGTTGTAATTATATAGTTGTTATAGGTTGGATCCAG